GCTCAAATTGCATAACTGTCAATACGAAGGAAACATGGCACAGGAACATTCGATCGTTACCTCTCTTATGATAAATTATGAATTTCCTGGAGGACACCTGATTCTTTTAGGTTAATTTCCCTGGATAGTTTGATTTGCAATTGGATTGAATTCTAGAGAAAAAAACTAAGTTCAAATCAAGTTGGAACCAAGGAACTAGGTTTAGAGTTTTATTCCTCTAATTACTCTACATCTTTTTCTCAACTTTGAATTTTTCATAGTAGAAAGTGTGCGGCTATAGGTAAGCTTAGTACTACTAAAAACTGATTTTTCCCCAAAATGTGACTTGGTATCTTTCTGTTTACTTGGACGTATTTTTGCTATACGTAACATTGTGAATAAGAGTGCGAGCAACATAGGTACTTCTTTTAGCATAAATACTCCACTTTCCAATCAAATCTAATTCATCTAAAAAGTTTCAGGAAAAAATTTTTCAAAAATGAATTATTTAGAAGATTAAATCTGTAAATATCTGAATGCTCATACGTGAATTTATTCTACCCGTGTTTTTACAGGTTTACCGCGGATTTATTAATTATTAATAATTTTTCGTTCAAAAAGTATCTGTTGGTCTTAAAAGTTCCAAAAAAAGTAAAAGAAAATAATGAATAAAAAAATCATTTCACATGGTGAAGCCTTTGTAGAACGGGACTAAATCGGAAACTCTTGACTGCAATCTGACACTGTGCCATTTTTCAAACAATCGAGCATTATGTAATCGATTCTTTTATTTCTTTCTGTCTTTGTAAACTTTTCTGTTATTTTTTCCTCGAGTGTAGCGCGCTTCAAACTTGGAGAAAACCGAACAACGCAATTTTGTGGCGCAAAATTTGCTCCCGAGACTCGGATGTACATTTGAAATAATAAACGCGAACCTAGCCTGATCTGAATCTAATTCTGTTGGCTCTACTTGCTTAGTTTGAAGACTTCTCATTGCTTATGACTCACTTAAATCTTACCACAGTATTTTATCTCAAGCTCTCTAAACAAAACTTCGTAAGAACAAATGCATAGATTGATAGGTTGTTCGGAACACAGTCAAAATTCCCCGGTCTAAAGAGCGTGATAAATCAAACTACTTGAGCCTATAGAATATCCAATTAAGATTTGCCACAACGCAACTTTTTAGCTTTAGCCATCTTAGAATTTTGAAAAAGTTCCAAAACGGCCCACCCTAGGAGGCGTAAGGGGGCGGATATTTTTGAAATTATAAGGTATCTAATGTGGAGTAAATTTCGTGATAAATAATTACCCTTAACAAGCGTTTTCCCACTTCTTTACTTCATTCTTTCTTATTGTCTTTCTTCTCTTTTTTTGCCTCCTTTTTTCGGGCGAACGGGGGGGGGGGGGGGGGGGGGGCACACTCTCCCTCCTCCCACCCCCTGAATTCGCCTTTTGTACGGGGTCTATAAAATATGTTGTTTCCGGGCGTAACCGACGGTGTTTACTTTCCCCACAAAATCGGCAATCATGTTCGAGTCTCCCCTCCCTGCACGATCAAATTTCGGCGACATCAAACCGTAGATTTTAATGGCACCCCATTTGCGCGGGCAGATTTTCATCGAACCTCCTCGTTTTCTTCATCTCTCATTTCATTTTGGCTCGTTCAATGAGCAGTTTAGCCCCGCACCTGCAATATACACAGCATACGGCGTTGCTCTCTCTCTCTCTCTTCACTGATACTATATGCTGGGTTTCAGTTTCAAAGATTTATTAATCTACCTTAACCTACCTACGTATTTAAATAAATTTTATACGAACGAAGCTCGATTTTCAAACAGGAAAAAAGTTTTATTTTGAAGCAAAAATAACGTTTACGCAAACAAAGAAAATCTCATTTGAGCATACGCACACAAGCCTCGACATTCGACAAATCATCGTTCATTTAACGTAAGGCGGAAGGGCGCGTCTCTATTTTAATAAGAGCCGTGAAAAGCATAGAGTTATACAGAGAGCGGGATTCACGTAAAATAAGAGATACGCCTTTAGGAGCGACGAAGTGTAAAGATGGTGAATTATTATTTGTCGGCGAACACCATACGAGAATGTGATAAGAGCGGAAATAAGTTTCAAAAATAATTCAAATCTGTAAAAACACCAAATACCCACAGTCATAGTCTATCAATATTTTCAATTGCCATAAGATTGCGAATAGTTAATAAACAGATAATTGATCAATTAAAGGATCTCAAGCTGCATTAAATTGGAGCCGAGAGAAAGAGGCGCGCCGGGCGAGGGCGACCAGCGCGACACGCGCAAAGGCGCCTACAAACCTAACAGGATACTTCACGCATTGCGCAATGCGTGAAGTATCCCTGTTAGGTTTGTAGGCGCCAGTGTGCGTTTTGCGCAATGCGTGAAGTATCCCTGTTAGGTTTGTAGGCGCCAGTGCGCATGCCGCGCTGGCATGGCAGCACGCCGCACATTGGTTCCAGGGCCCGATCTAGGTGGCATTAATTAGAATATCACTGATGATGACATGTTATATATGTTTCTAGGGGTTCTTTGGGTCGCTAATTACGAATTTGAAGTCAATTTGACTGTATCATTTAGCATAAGGTGGTAAATTTGCATTTAGCTTGAAAATTCATACTTAATACTACATTAATAATATTTTAACATGGCTGAATTCCTGGACTGATATATTTTTCAACCTTTTTTGATTTATCATCAAAAACTATCGATGAATTTACGAGGATTTGTCCTCTAATTACTAATTTTTTTATGGGGGGGGGGGGTTGGGCAATGTTGTATAATTTTGTGAACCAGGAATTGGTATTATCTGGTAAAATATACCTCCTAAATGTTGTGGTTTCCCTGAGGAAAATAAATTCCAGTACCAAAGAAAACTACTTATCCCACTATTCGAGTTGTTCATACAGTGTTGACAAATCAGCGTAAGAAGAACTTTATTTGAACCTCAATGCTCGCTGATTTCTTGATTCGCCGCGCTTTAAAACCAACAGAAATTTTGAAGCTTTGTAATTTAATGGTACAATTATGCTATCAGAATTATTATGTTATCAGAATAACTATGAATTAAGATTCGATCTTCGTCTATAATTCAAAAAATACATTTAAATTCATTATACGCGGCAATTTAAACATACGTAACATAAATATTTTACTTGAACAAGAAGTATATTCACTCAATGAAGGAAAGCAGAAACCAAAATTAATAACAAAGTATTTTGAAAGAAAAATGATTACTGTCTGTAAGAGCAGGAAAATATTCATCGGTATAATATTTTATTGCGCATCAAAAAGAGTGAGGTGTCACACTTGCTTTTTTTTCTTTTTTAAACAAAGTTGTGAGCTTGCGATGATTTCAGAGCCTTACAAACCTGAGAGAATAAAAACACGAAGAAATCATGAACCAAGAAAGAAATAAGCATTCGTTGTTAAGTTAGAGGACATTTACTCATACAATCACGGAATAATGCGCGAGGAGTGCAGTAAGCTCCTTTTCTGTGGAACAGTGCTATGTCTATGGGCCTCTCTAAAGGTACAGACAATGTGAAAAACAATTATCTAAACGATTGAGAGGATTTAAGAACCCACGTGTTCTGTATTTTGAGCCATAATTGTAAAATTTCTAGTCAAAAAACGGGAACTGTCTTTAGTCTATGGGCTTCTCTACAGGTATAGACAAGGTGAAAAATAATCATCCCAATGATTGTGAGGATTTGAGAACTCACGTGATGTGCAACAAATGCAGTCCTCAAAGATCTGGAGTCTGCAGTAGTGCAGTAAGCTCCTCAGTGTGTCAATTTTCTTCATTTCTCGAAGGCCGGTTTTGGAAATTCAAAGTGCGCTAACCTCCAGGGACGCAAGTATGCGCAGAATTTTTTTGCTCCGAAATCAAGTGTAGGGTCAGCACTAACTACTACAGTCGGTCTGCACGTGTGCGAACCTACGCAGGGCCTTTATTTTGAGTCATAATTGTAAAATTTCCAGTCAAAAAACCGGAGCTGTGGTAAGTCTATGGGCTTCTCTAGAGGTATAGACAAAGTAAAAAATAATCATCTTAACGATTATGAAGACTTGAGAACCCACATGACCTGTAAAAAATGCAGTATTCATATTCCCAAGGATCTGAGGTCTGCAGTAAGCTCCTTAGTGTGTCAATTCTTTATTTCTTGAAAGCCGGTTTTGGAAATTCAAAGTGCCCTAACCCCCAGGGACGCAAGTATGCGCAGAATTTTATTGCACTAAAATCAAGTTTAGGGTTAGTACTAACTACTACAGTAGGTCTGTATGCGTGCGAACCGGCGCAAGACATTCATCTAGAGCCATTTTTGTAAAAATTTGCTTGGAATTAGTAGAAAATAACGCTTTGTCTAACGGCTTGTCTAGATGTATAGACACGTTTTTGAAAGATAGTAAGAACGTATAAACCTTTAACATGCCTTATATTTTTGATACACCATAACAGAACACTTCACATTTGCATCTATTTCTGTGTGATGAACTTCAAATCATAGGACCTGACAGTAAACACTGAAAACTGGTGCGAGTCCGCCCAAAAGTACCTCGCGGCCTCACCTTTAGGTGCTTATCATTTCCTTATTAGTGATCCAATCTTCATGATATTTGGCCAAGTTACTCTCGAGAGTATGCATTATCAATCTGTGGTGTCAAATTTTAATTTTTCCAAAATTCATTTTTTCAAATTAATGCCACCTAGATCGGGTCTGGGAACCAATGTGCGCCGCGCCGGGGCCGGGGCCTCTCCGCTTTGTGTTTGGCTCTAATATTTAAACTCGCAAAAATATAATGTGCGTTTTATAAATATTAAGGTGGTTCCGTGCCAAATTGAATGATTTAAATATTTTGCGGGTAAAATGTTAATATATTTTTGGCTCAGACTACTCCAACGTCATTTTTCTCCTTCTTAAAAATGGAGCTTGATTCCTTACGGCTTAAGTCAGTAATAATGCATATACGTATGAATAACTTACGTTAGAATTGTTAAAGGGCACATGCAAATCCCATAGGTCGTGGGCATCATTGCTAGGTATTTCTGTGTCCGCAACTCTTGGGGCATATCATATGTGACCTCGTTGAAGTACAAATTCAGGGTTGGCAGGAGGTCGTCCCTTCCGTCCCTGAAAAAAAAAATAAGGCACAAATGAAAACATATAACTCCTTCAATAAATGAAATTGTCACTTGCCATCCCTTAATTTGTAGAATAACCCTGCCATTAAAGAGGATGATTTAACCAAAATCAACCCAACAATATCAGGAATATCTTATCCTGTTTTAACTGCTGATACCAAGCGAATTTTCGCTATCGAATATCATTCATCATACGAATTAATAGACACCGAGTGGTGCCGATGATCGGTGAAAGCAATAGCCGATCAGAGTCCAGATTTTTTTAATGAAATCAAGAGGAACTTACGAAATTACGAAACACTAAAATGCAGTAATTTGCAAGACTGGAAATGACAAAACACAATGACAGAAAGAAGTGACGAAACAAAAATCCTGGTGAAAGATGAAGTTCCTGACATCGATTGCATTAATTTAAAAATCGGATTCAAATCCCGAGGTGAGTTCGAAATTTCAAATTGATGGATTTCAACGGTCTCCGGTAAGACCTACGAAGAAGTCGAATATAATTTTAAAAAAATGCACAATCGTCGAATATCATGCATTCAACGGTGAATGATATTCGATCGCGAAAATTTGCTTATTGAGTAACATTCTAATCTGAAATTTTGTGAGCACTGCCTCTGTAATGTAGGGTCAATTTTAAGAAAGTTTCAAGACGTTACGTCGCTTGGCCTTCCTCATAAAAACATAGAATGGGGAAAATCACGAAGCCTGGAGCACAAGGCTGACCGATTCAATCTGTCTGAACATACGGATGGTGGAAAAACCGCCAGTCTTGCTTTTCAACGTGACTGACTCCCTGTCATACGTACCTTACTCCTTTAAAGGAAACCCGATCATCGCACTAATAACATGAATCGAGTTTTTGTAACGATAAATGTAAAATTATCGATTTTCTGCAAGAACTATTGTCCAGGGAGCCTAAGTTAATGAAAAACTATTGTTCAGGTTGAGTAACTCAATTTTGTAGGATAATGCCAATTGGGACATTGCTTTGATTGGTTTCTTCGATATTTATGAATTTGCGACAGGCATCTTTGACAATATTGGATGATTTTAGCAGGAATCTTTTATTTTTATGTTCTTTGGTTTCACACATTTTATCGACTTGTATAACTCAAAATGTACACCAAAATGTATTTTTCATTCACTCATTACACTTTCAGGTATGGACGACTGATTTCTCAAGTACCTACGTAGTTTTAACTTCCTAATTCGTCGTTCATCCCCAGACCGAAGAACGCGGTTCAAACAATCAAACTTTTAAAGGGATTTGACCCTGCGATCTCTGTTTGAATTTTGACTGATTTTTGCTTGTGATCAGAAGAAAAATCCGATGAATTTCAGTTGGAAACGTTTACTAGTTCGCAACGTTGAAATGCTGTTACCTCCTGTCGTCTCGGAAACGACGAATTTATCTTACCAACGAAATTCGCTTCTATGACGAATGAAATTAAAGATAATTAAGTGTCCCAGCCCTGCCGAAAGTAAGTGGAACAGAGGAAAGCCTGAATAAGGATTAAATACACAATACACTTGAGACATCACAAAGTCCAACTCTTAATTGCAATTAAAAGGTCGTGAGCATTCAGAATTCCTATTTACCACCCTTCCTTAACTGTACATTTGTGTTTTGTGAAGCATATTATGTATAAAAATAAGAATGAAAAACGTATGAGCTACCAGAATCAATGATCTGATAATCGCATATTCTTAATGCTTATCAGAGATATTTTCGTACGAGTACACCTCTCCTATGAGTTTGCCTGGGAGTGATTTTTAGCTTAAAATTTAATGAACTGCGTCACTCAACGCAAAGAAAGATTTGCTGGATAAATTCGAGGATGAAAATTCACAAAGTTTGTAGAGAAATAAAATTGATAGGTTTTATGTTAAAGAAATTTGACTCTGTTTGAATATTCATACGGCGTTCTTCCCCAGCACGGCAGTAATATGGTCGCTGTTTCGACGTAAGGGCATATCTCTATTTCCACATAAACCCCGGAATCCACGGCATTTTATGGGCAACAGGGCGCAAGTGTATTTTGAGATACTCACCATTTCCGAATAATCCTACAGAATTATAGATCCATGCGCATGAAGACTAATGGCTATTGAAAGATCTGCAGAGAAATTAACTGTTCGGCATGTTGGTACTGTTCTAGTGGCCATTTTTATCACAGGTCATTTTATCAAACAAGGAAGTAAGGTCCTAGGGATTCTCTCAGCTCACTGCATTTTTTATTAAAAAGTTTGGTTGCAAAGAAGCTGAGATCTAAGGATCAAGTTGAAGAGGGGCATGAAAGTTTCAATAAATCCCAAAGGTCCGTTTGTAGCCCAACCAAGTCTACGACTCTCCCGTGAGTTCGGAATAAACCCTCGGCTATTCGTGACCATCTATTACGGCCGAACCTCGCCCTGAAACACATGGTGGAACGAGGCACCTGAACTGGGTGAGTGAGCATCAAATGAATAATAAATAAGGATAGAAATAGGGAATCGAGGAACACCAGAGAGTAGACAGTCGGAACGCCCGACTAAAAAATTGATGGGGGAAGGAGCGCTTTCTGAGCCCACATCATTCTCGAGCACCGTGCTCACTGATTCTCTGCATTTTTCACTCCTTCCCTCAACGTGCAAGCGTTGAATGCGGGGTGTGTTACATACGGCACATCATTATGGTAAAAAATGACTGTCTGCAACCTTTGATTCGTGTTTTCTAGGCTCCTCGCGGAAGCCTCCCCCTCAATACTCATCTAGGTCTTCATTCGCTTTGATCCGCATCTCGTCTTTCACGCGTTTTCCTCGCGTCGCCTGTTTCATATCTCATCCGTCTCCTTTACCTTAAGAATTTCTGAGTTGAGACATCTTTAACTTCTTGAGAATTTGGAAAATAAAAAAATAATTGCGATTTCCAGAGGAAAAGGAAGAATGAGAGGCAAAAGTATCCCGGAAAGTCTTTAAAGGAGAGGTGTACCTGAGAATTTTATAAACTTTGTACGATTGTAATTTTATTGAGACAGTAATCATCGTTAACTGTTTTTTTTTTTTTTTTTTTTTTTTTTTTTTTTTTTTTTTTTTTTTTTTTTTTTTTTTTTTTTTTTTTTTTTTTTTTTTTTTTTT